TAGGTTCAGATTTTCAGTCGATTTTCAGTCTTAAACAATAACGTACCGTGACACACCCGTAACACACCCGTGAAAAAACGTTCGGGTAAAGCGGGTGCTTTACCCGACCCCTGAGAGCAATCCGACAGTACAGCGTAATATACTCTTAATGAATCATTTCATCTACAGAATCTATAAACGCTTTTTTTTCCATCCCCATACAGTTAACGCTTTAAAAGAACTTCAGAGCGAAACAATCGTTAGATTTTTTCTGAAATTTGCATTTTCAATTTTTTTTTCGTCGTTCAATCGCTTCAGTGGAAATTGTTCATTTATTTCTCTGCTGCCTTTCCTACCAAAAGACTTTTTTTCGGACTAACGCCCCTTTTTAACGGACGGGAACGTTCTTTGTAATTCCAAAGCGTATATGCAGTGGAAAAATCCCTCCTCGGCGATTCACATGCAAAAATGTCCAAGTCGGAAAAAAACTGGGGCTTTGTTAAAGTGGAAAATACAGGCCTGTCCAGCTATAAATTGATTTCGTATTCGTTAAAAGAATTACAAAGTCGGATTGACGTACAAAATAGAAAAAAAAAATTTCGCCATTATCTATACTAATATATAAAATCCTTAAGTGACTGACTCACAGTGAAGCTCAATTTTGGCATACAGATTGATTCTAGGGTGTAGAGGTTCGATAAGAAGGAATTTTTCGAAATTCCAGTTCCAAAGGGGTGAAACCACCTCTCAAATATTACAATATTTTTTATTTTTAAAAAACGGTCAAGTTTCCGAAAAAACGCTTAAACACGTATATTTTATTTTGTTTTTTACATATTTTAAGATTTTTTAAAAATTTATACAAGGTGTTTCATAAAATATGACCATTGAGTAATCAGGATTCTGCTTAGATTGCTTGACGTTTAAAGCTGATTTTTGGTAAACGGATTGACTGTGGGGTGTAGAGGTTCGACAAGGAGGGGTTTCTAGAATCTCAAATTCCAAGAGGGTGAAAACGCCCCTCAAATATTACAATATTTGTTATTTAAAAAACGGTTAGCCTTTTGGGAAAACGCTTGGACACGTATAATTTATTTTGCTTTTTACATATTTTGAAATTTTTAAAAAATTATACAGGGTATTCCAAAAAGTTGGGTAATTTCTTAACCACGATTCTGCTTAAACTGCTTGACATAAAAAGCTTATTTTTGGCAAACAGATTTTTCGAAAGTCAAATTCCAACGAGATGAAACTACCCCTCAAATATTACCAAGTTATATAATAATATCGCCATATTGTTTTTTCTCATGCTCATAAATGTGAGAAAATTTTATCCAGTTTGTATGTTAATGGAAATTCTTGCTTTGCTTGATCATCATCGTTACAAATGATTAATTCGACTCCAACAAAGTCGCGGGTACACGCTAGTTACTGTATATGGAGTGAAATTTGGATTAAAACTAATTTTTATAATTATAAGTCCTCAAATCCTTATAAACTCGAAAGGATAAAAGTCAAATTGTTGCCGCTAGAAGAACTTTTATGCGAGAAGCATAAAGATAAAGAACTTTTATAATTAAAGACCATTATCTGCGTTTTTTTAAAACAATTTTAATTAGTTTATCTCAGAAAACTTTTCTAATTAGCTCTTGTAACAAATTAATTTTTTTTTTGTAAACGTAGAAAAAAATATTATTTCCTGTTTTATTCTAATATTGTTTATGATCTATTTTTATTATTTGTTGTTTTATTGAAATTTTCATTAAATAAAATGTACTAAAATTAACAGAATTATTATTAAGCTATGGTAATTTAACATAAACTGTCAAGATTTACCCCTGTCTTTTGTTTTTGATTGATGCAGGTTGCCTTTAACCTTTCACCTTGAAACCATTTTACTATAGAACTACTAAAGTTTTGGGAAAAAATATACAGAGTGAGTCTTAAATAAGTGTAAATATTTTCAGGGACAGATATATAAAAATAAACAAATTTTTTCAGATATTTTAAGGATCGTTATTCCGATTTGAGTGAAATTTTAGGCGTGTATGTGTTGCTAAGTGCTTTAAGATTTGACTTTTACAAAAATCAAGAAAATGTACAGAAAGGGTGAAAACTACCCCCACACCCTACAGAAAGTTTAGTATAAATATTTTCGAACTAAACCGACCACCGATTTTTTTCGTAAAATGGTCCCTCTAGTATTTACTACATTTTTTGTCTTTAAAAAAAACACGTCGCATACTTTTTGAGGAAGAAAAATATTTCTCCGAAGCTGATTTAGAAAAAAATGTTTTTGTCACACCAAGCTATGGAGGTGCATAAAATCTATTATGCTCTAATAATCTAGTTAGCAAAAATATGGAATTTTATGTTAGTTTTACAAATTATATTGGACAATAAGCTTCATAAAAAGCTTAAAAAAAGTAATTAATTTTAAAGTAATTAACGTTGGGGTTTATTTTTATTGGTGCCCTCTAACGAACAAACGAAGCACTTTTGTACAAAGGCAAATTATGTGTAATTAACTTATTTAGATTCAAAAAATACGTAGTTCTTCTATGTCCATGGAATATTGAAACTCCCCGTATGTTTTGTAGGCCTGCTTTGGCAAAATAAATTCTCCAAAAATGTTTTTCTGAAAAACTATGCGATATGACATTTCTTTAGAAGAGTCAAAAAATGTAGTAAATACTAGAGGGACCATTTTACGGAAAGAAAATCTGTCATTGGTGGAGTTGAAAAATATTTACATTAAAATTTATGTAAGGGTGGGGGTAGTTTTCGTCTTTCCCGTACTTTTTTTTTATTTTTGTAAAAGTAAAATGTTAAAGCACTTAACAAAACATAGACACCCAAAATTTCACTCAAATCGGAATAACGGTTCTAAAAATATCTTAAAAATTGTGATTATTTTTTAAAGTTTGATGCCCTCTAGCGGTCAAGCAAAGCATTTTTATATAGAGGTAAATTGTGTCCAATAAACTTATTTTGATTCCAAAAATACGTAGTAGTTCTATGTCCATAAAATATTGGGACACCCTGTATATGTTTACCCAGTAAGCATTTTATTCCTTTAAGGGAAATGTGTTCTAGGTGACGTCGTTGTTAGGTTATCAGGCCCTTCTTATGCCTAATATGAAGCAATAAAACGCAGATACGTAACAGTTCCCTAATGTTCTCTAAATGTGACAAAACTTTGCTTACTGGGTAGTAATATTATTTTTTCCAGTGTGGTGATTACGAGCCCTAACAACTATATGTTGGGACAAGGTCTTTTATGCAATAAAAATAGTAATTTGTTAAAACGACTCAATTTATTTGTTTATTATTCTAAATTCAAACATTACAATATGATCTAGACAATTTTACTATATTTTTATAACTTTGCAAACAAATCACTTTTGCTAATAGCTTATTTTGCCAAAATCAAGCCAAATTTGCTGACAACTATATATTGGGACAGCACAAGAAGAAATTTGTTTAATACGGAGTTACATCGCATTTCGCCTTAACAACTGCATGAACTCTTAATGGCATTGTATTTACCAAAGATTGGCACATTTGAGGAGAAAAATTATCCCAAATTTCCTGCAGTTTTGTTCGCAAATCAAAAATTGTTCGTTGAGGGTGGTTTCTTAAATATTGCTTCATTTTATGCCACACAGTTTCTATAACAATGAGCTCCGGACTACTTGAAGGATGGGATAGAACTTTTATATTATGATTACCGAACCAATTTTTAGTTGATCTTGCTGAATGGCACGATGCTCCATCTTGTTGGAAAATATAGTCTTCGTTTGGAAACAATTCTTGAGCACTAGGCAAAAGTGAGGTCTCAAGAATATGTTGATATTTTTGGGCGTTAACAGTGCCATCTATAAAATTAAATTTGCCCAAACCTCTTGCTGACATGCAACCCCAAACCATAATCCCCTGAGGAAATTTAACAACTCTCTTTAAGCAATCTTTATGAAAGGCTTCTGCTTTATTTCGTATTATTCGTTTTCGATGATCTCCCACGCAAACATCAAATTTAGACTCATCGCTAAATATGACCTTATTCCAATCATTTTGTGTCCACGATAATGTAGATTTTGCCCAATTGTAGCAATTTTTTATTTGAATTTCTGTCAGTAGCGGTTTTTCTTTGGCCTAAATAAAAATTTCTATCAATAATCTTCAGGTAATTGATTATCCACTCAAAATAAAGTTTACCTTGTAAAACCCCAGACCGCATTTGTGGATATATTTTCGGCAACATTCTCTTGATATATTTAAACCAGTTACAGTATTCCATTTAACTGTTACTTTGCCAAGAGTACTTCTTCTCGCAGACTTGCAAATTTTTACTAAATTTCGTAAATCTCTCTGAGATACAACTTTTGGCCTTCCCGAACTTTTACCTCTAACGTCTACGTTGGGAGATTCGCCGTATTTTTTTATTATATTAAAGACCGTGGTTTTTGGAATACTTCAATCATCAGAAATTTTTCGAATTGTTTTTCCCGTACTGTATTGACGAATGATAATTTCGCGTAGTTTTTGATTTGTAGCTTTTCCACGGACGATTACTTTGGATTAAATTAACAAAATTGAAAATTAAAAAAAATTAAATTTCTTACAGTAAATCGCACTACTCAAAGTATCGAGTCACTTACAAGCTGTCAATGCTGAAGTAAACAGTTTGCGACATTTGTGACGTTTATAGCAAAGCCGCCTATGATGATATTAATTATTGAAAAATACTTGTCCCAACATTTAGTTGTCAGCAAATTTGTCCTTTTATGAACAAAATGCGCTACTGTAAATATGGATTGATTTACAAATTCATAAAAATATTGTTAAGTTGTTTAGGATATATGGCTATGTTTATATTTAAAAAATTAAACATATATTTTTCAGTCATTTTGAAAAACCAGGGCAATAATTCCATAATATGACCTTGTCCCAACATATAGTTGTCAGGGCTCGTATATTGAGGTTTTATTATTATTTTCATATATTTTTTTTTATTTCAGGTGTTCATTTTGACACTTCTAGCCAAAGTTTAGTCAACGAAATAACAGCAGCAATAAAGGTATTTACTTAATTCCCTTATAATTTATTTTTATATCATCACACAAATAAGGAAAAATCACAAATCATAATTTTAATGTTAAAGATCGCGCACACTATACCTGCACGGACCGGCACGGACCAGACCAGTAAAATCTACCGGTGAAGGTGACCGTGTTATTTAATAGAGTAGAGCACACTAGACCAGTACCAGCACGTACCGCCACAAGCCACGACCGTCAAAACAGGTCGTGTCGGTCAGGGACAAATATGACCGGCAATATTTATGCCTGGTCGTGCTGGTCCGACCTAATGTGCGCACCGGCGAACCAGCACACCTCCACAAACATGCAAATATTGAAGGGTTTGTCAGTATTTCGAGTACGCTAGCTGGCTCAAGTTGCATGATGTAGGTTAGATTTCGTTTATTTTTGTTCGAACCTTTAAATCGTTTTAAATATGAATGAAAAAAAGCTTATTTTACTGGTACAAAAGTATTCAGAGCTGTGCGATACGAGCCAAGCATTTTATATATAGAGACCAAGAAAGAAAAGATGCAATATGGGAGTCGATAGCAAAAAAAAATAATTAAATTTGATTTGTGACATTCGAAAATATTGGAAAAACTTTTCTTCGAATCTTTTTAATTCAGGAAACAAATAATGAAATTCGCCATATTGCTTTCTCTTTTGATTTATAGGGTGAACCCAAAATCTTCTTTTTTTCTTAGCTTCCTTCTCTTCCTCCTCTTCTTCACACAACATGGCTAAAATAATAATTTCTTCGTCTGAACTACTCATTTTCAATACTTCTATGTTGCACGCTCTAGTAGTTGAGCCTTGACAACTGTACTTTTTTCGAAACTCTCGCTTATGTTGCTGGTCTGTGGCGGTAAAGTGTCGATGTCATGCAGGATGCAGGTTTGTGCTGTGCTGGTCCGTACTGGTCCGTGTAGGTATAGTGTGCGCGATCTTTTAAAGAACAAACTTTTTTGCCGATGCATCTAAAAATATTAAAAAACTATAAAAATAAAGTTTATAATTTGCTCATTTCTGTTAGCAAGTAAGCTAATAAAATAATAGTTAAAAGCCATTTTAAAAACATAAAACTTAGAGAATAAGAGGTTCGAAATCTTTATTACACGTATAAAATGGATGTAATTTACAGTAGTTGTGAGTTAGAATTTATTGATGTCATAAAAACTTTAGATTTCTATGAGCTTCTGAATTAGTAATTCAGAGTAGATTAAATCAAAACTATACTCACCGGCGCCAAAAACGGGAACCTTAATTTTGATGTATTTTTTATGACCAGAATTTTTTTATTGTGTTTTAGTGGACAGATTTGGGGGAGTTGATGTTAAAACAGTAACACTATTATTAAACAGGCTCTACACTATGCGGAGAACTCTTCAAAACAGGTCAAGGTCACATATAACGTATTTTTTAGCGTCTCCTGATGCCTCGTTCAATTTTGTTTCATTTTGAGCTATTTCCAAAACGTGGCGGTATCTGTACCCGAGGCAAAGAACTTTTTTTTCATAAATCTCCGTAACATAATAACCGTAATAGATACGAACATGGTTAAATTGGGGCAAAGTTGCGCTTTGGGATGTTCACCAAGGTGCCATCAAAAAAGTTTTAAAAATTTCAAGAGTGCTAGTTTTTGGAAAAAACGGATATTTTGAAAATCAATTTTATTTTTTCCTGTCTATACCCACCAAGCGAGAAACCTCACATTACATTTGCAACATTGCAGACAATCCCCAAACGGCTTGCTTTGTAATGTTGATTTGTAAACGTTTTGCCGTGATTGATGAAACTTTGCTACAGAAATATTGTTTTTGAAAGGCGATAAAAACGTTTTCTCTGCAACATTGCAACAAAGATTCAAATGAAAGATCCGCGCAAGTTCATGTTCATACCGTATGATCGAAAAAATAGGGCGTCCAGCTGTAATTACCCATATAATTTTACATATAAAATGACAGCGATCTTCAGTTCATAGCCATCGCTGACGCCGTTTTTTTTTATCATAAAGTCATAAATAAAGTTAGATTAGGTTAACGTTAAACATGTTTTTGACGTGTTTTGTATTACGTTCTATGCTTTTTGAATGAGATTTTGATGAATATAAATGTAAGTAAACAAACCAAGAGTAATGATATATAAAACAACCCCAGAATTAGTAAGTAAACAAAGCAAAACCAAAGCAAGAGAAATGATACATAAAACAACCCCAGAGTTTCCAAATGGCACAGGAGTACGATAAGGAGACGTGATATCCCCAAAGCTATTTACAGCAACACTAGAAGAAATCTTCTGTCAACTAGACTGGACCAACAAAAGATTAAAGATAGATGGAGAATATCTTAATCTTCAATGGAACAAAATATGCTGGGAATAACCTTGGAATAACCAAGAAAGACCATAAAAGAAAAGAGTGAATACTACAAAAGACCCAGGTAATAGATGTCATCCACAGAATCATATCCCTCAAATGGCAATGAGCAGGATACCTGGCAATAAGGACGAACAACAGATTATGGACCACAAAAATTACCGCATGGTACTTTAGAAACAATTGGATATAGATTGGAAAACTTTACCGAAGAGAAATTTGAAACCATGAATAAGACAATTCAACATGCGAAGACAAAATATGAAAGATCCAAAAAATCAATTAAAATATAAGTTTGCTTTTCCTTGTACATATATTTAATGTTATACTTTCATTTTGTATTTTTGAATAAGAAATATATAAAAATGTTTATACTGTACCTATATATATTTTGTATTATTTCAGACCTTCAACCTTTAAGATTTTTTTTAGAAATTCGATTCAAGAGGTCAGAGTTGAGTAATTCCTTATTTAATGAGCAGCCGAAAAGATCAGTAAGTTCTCAGTACTCAGTACTCAGATACCTATCTGAAAGTCTACAATTTAATACCCATTAATGTTTCTGTTGATTAGAACCTATTACTGATGTTTTATTGTTAACATAAAATTGCATAAAATTGCTAATGTTGCTAATGAAATGGGTTTTTATTGCAAACATTATCTATTTTTTGCTATATTATTTTAGCAATAAGTCAGTTAATTAGTTATAACAAAATAGAAAGTTTAGTGGATAATAAGATGTAAAATTAACAATATTACTAATACATCTCAAATTAGTACTTTCCTGAACGTTACATTAGCAACGTTTCAATAATATTGTGTTTTTCAACCTTGCACTGCAATGTAATTTGGCGGAAGATTAAGCTACCCTGCCACCTTGCCTAAACCTCCCTACAATGAAAAAAGCAATGTTACACCTTGCTTTGCGAAGTTTTGGCAATGTTTCAGCAATAAATTTTGCTTGTTGGGTACTTTTTAGAAAATCAAAAAACTAATTGCCGATTTTCATAGCCACTTTATTAGGGCTATCTGATAGTATGTTTAGATTTTCAAATCAGCTGATATATTGTGAAATACAGAGACCAACATATTTTTTTTAAATACGGACCTGCATTTTTTATTTCAGATTTTGAAACAACTCGCTCTCCTGAGTACAATGATATGCCACACTTAATTTTTTTTTGTTTTGGAAATTTGGACACAATTTATTTAAACTAATTTCAAGTCCGGCTCTGTTTTTTTTAATATTTAATATATTCATCGTTACAATATTGATAAGCTTTCAAACTTAACAGTGACGTGGGTTGACTACGGAAAATCAAATGCAATAAAATAATAAAATATAATATAAACAATCAAATCATTTCCCCGGAAGATGGATTGGAAATGGTAGAGCAGTGTAAAGGCCAGCGAGGTACCTGGACCGTCTAATGACGTGAAGTAATTCGACAGGTCCAAATTTTAGTAGGAGAGTGGTAACCCTTTCGAACATGTAGACTATGTAAAGCATTAGAAACTAGTTTATAGAAGTTAATTTATTCATAATAACTACCATTAATATTATGCAAATTATTAGATCGTAGGTACACTGAGAATTTCAAATTCACAACAAGAAAAGTTAAAAATAATATATTTAAATTGTTGATCTGGATATTATTTATTTGAATCTTTCAATTGGCTCAATTTTCCTTATCCAATGTTAATTAGCACTGATCAATATTGTTGCGATGAATATAATCAGATTAAATAATTTAAAAAACAGAGTCGGACTTGAAACTTTTTTAAATAATAATTAAATAGTTTTGTTGCTGTTAAGGTAACCAAAACAAAAAAAAAGTATAAAGTGTGGCATATCATTGTACTCAGGAGTCTGAGTTCTTTCAAAATCTGAAATAAAAAATGCAGGTCCGTATTTAAAAAAATTAAGTTGGCCACTGTATCTCACAAAATATCAGCTAATTTGAAAATCTACAAATATTATCAGATAGCCCTAATAAAGTGGCTATGAGAATGTGCAATTAGTTTTTTAATTTTCTAAAACGTAACGACAGGAAAAAATAAAATTAGTTTTCAAAAAAATCCGTTTTTTACAAAAAAACTCAGCAATCCTTGAAATTTTTAAAACTTTTTTGATGGCATCTTGGTCAACAGCCCAGGGCGCAACTTTGCCCCAATTTAACCATCTTCGTATCTCTTACGGTTTCCGAGATACCAATGCTCGTACCTCGAATTTGTAGCACCCTGTATACTCCACAAAATTAATATTTGAAGATCCGTTTATAATTTGTAGAGTAGATATTTCAGAACAAAACTTTTCACTTAATCTGCAGGAATATGTGTGTGTATCAAGTGATTCACTCCACTGTTCGGTTTTTATATGATTCAAAATAAAAAATATATAAATTGTAAAATTAGTAATTTTTTAATGGCCATAATGCGTTCTTTCAAAATCATCGAACAACTAAATCATTTCCATAGATTCTGTGACGTACCGTGACATTGAATTTTGAGACTAAAAACTGAAACAATAATTTGTCAAAAAAATCATATTACAGCTATATGTTTTATTTTGCATAAAAATGTTAACTAATAAGTTAGAATAATTATAATTCTTCACTAACTAAGTGGTTTTATCGCTAAATTTAACTAAAGCTAAGTACAACACAAATCTTAAATACGTGGACTATTATAACAACAAATACATCGCAAAAGACTATTTTGGTAGCATTCTGAACGAGAATTCAAGTTAAACTTTTTAGAAAACAATTTAAAGGAAAAATGTTAATTCAGTTAATATTAATTTTTGTATACTGCTCAGATTTATCTCGTCTTCTATCATATATTTTGGAAATTAGAGAATTATCTGAAGATTTTCATGTAAAAATTGGCATTGATAGTGGTGGTGGATCATTTAAAGTTTGTCTGAATGTGCTCCCTGAAAACGATCCCGAATATTTCAAGAAATATAAAAGTGCTGGAATTAATAAACTATTCATAATTGGCTTAGGACCAAAGTTGTCTCAATCTTATGCTAACATTAAAAGCCTCTTTGAGACGTTAGATCTGTAGTCCATATGTGGAATTTGTTCCCTATACTTTTGCCATGACTTTAAGCTTATTATGATTCTCCTTGGTCTTCAGTCAAATTCATCCACTCACACTTGCCCATGGTATGATGTAAATGTAAAGGAAATGGAAATTAAAGGATCATTCAGAATATAAAAAGTATTACAGAAAATACAAATTTATGGCAACAATCTGGAGGAAATATAAAAAAAGCCAAAGATTTTAGTAAGCGTTTTTGTTTGAAATATTTTTTTTGTATTTTTTAAACTGTTGTTCAATGAACCATATAAAAAGGGGTTATAATAATAATTATTTTTTAGAAAACTGTATAAACATACCTTTAATCATTGGCGACGAAGAAACACCTGTCTTAAAGTATATTCCCCCTCCTGAGCTTCACCTTTTGTTAGGTGTGGTTCAACAACTATTTGATTGTCTTGAATTGGAGAATACCAATGTTGCAACAGAATGGATAAAAAAAGCGGGATTGAAACTAGATCATTATGGAAAATGTAACGGAAATAACGCCAGACAACTTTTAAAGAAAGTGGACATTTTAAAGACAATATCGCCCGGTAAAGAATCCTATTCAAAGTTTTGACAAGCAAAAACCTAAACATCTTTTTTTTATGAAATAAATATATTGCAGTGTTTTCTGCATTCAATCAAGTAGTTTCGAGTTGTTTTGGTCAAGCACTAAACAAACATTTTGAACATGACATCGAACAATTTAGATTGGAGATACTCAACTTAGATATTAAGATAACTCCAAAGATTCATGCAATTCTGCATCATGTGCCAGAGTTTATAAAAGCAAATCATAGAGCTCTAGGAACAAGCATCTGAGCAGGTTCATTTTTCCTTTAAATTATTTTCTAAAAAGTTTAACTTGAATCCTCGTTCAGAATGCTACCAAAATAGTCTTTTACGATGTATTTGTTGTTATAATAGTCCACGTATTTAAGATTTGTGTTGTACTTAGCTTTAGTTAAATTTAGCGATAAAACGACTTAGTTAGGAAAGAAATATAATTATTCTAACTTATTAGTTAACATTTTTATGCAAAATAAAACATATAGCTGTAATATGATTTTTTTGACAAATTATTTATCAGTTTTTGGTCTCAAAATTCAAAGTCACGGTAAGTCACTGGATCTATGGAAATGATTTAGTTGTTCGATGATTTTGAAAGAACGCATTATGACCATTAAAAAATTACTAATTTCACAATTTATATATTTTTTATTTTGAATCATATAAAAACCGAACTTATGTTAAATGTCATAGCACACATGTTATTACTTGATATTGATATCTAACACTTTCCAGGTTTACGCTTATGGAGTAGAAGACTTTCTGGCAGATCCAGTGAACAGGCACCGTTCACTCACCACTCATCTGTCGTGTGAAGGTGCTGGGGCAGCCAGATGGGACACCGGTGACCGGTTCTTTAGGTACCTGCGCAATGTGAGCGTGGAGGCAGAGGCTGGAAGACCTAACCTAGAGTTCACACCGGACGGGGTTTTGAAGGCTGCGGAGTTGAAGATTATGAATCTGAGGCCTGGAGTGAGTAAACAGCTTGTTTGGGAAGAGGTAAGTCGGATTTGTTACAAATATACAGGGTGGGTGTTAAATAAGGGCAAATATATTTTTACAGGGCTGGTAGATCTCGATAAAAGAAACATACCGGGTGTTGCATCGTCGGACGGGACATAGGAAATCCCATGTAAATTTTAATGGGGTCAATTATTGGCTTCCCTAATTATTTTAGAGAATAATTCTATTTAGGTTTATTGAAGAGCACTAAAACCCACATTCAAAAGAATAACTTTAGATATTTTTGATTAGCTCGTTTACGAGTTATCGCCGATTTCTTTTCAAATATTTCTCCTTTCTTATGGCTCTGTATTTACTTATGAGCACCAGTCAAGGTAAAAGATAACTCTCAAATGAAGTTGTCATTTCAGAAATTTACCTATTTAGTGCTTTATTATTATTGAAAACTCGTTCCTACATCGGAAATCTTAAAGATGTATTTATAAATACAAATTAATATGAATTAAAGTAAAATAAAGTAATCAATTACAAGGTTAATTATAGTATTATTACAATATTCAATAACTTATTAATTTAGGTACTATTAAATTGTTAGAACTTTAGGATTTAAGAAGATGTTCAAATATTCTTCGATCGACTTCTAGACAATAACACAGGCGATCATAAAATTCTCTTCTTACATTCGCTATTTGGCAAACTCAAATTCTATTGCATTCGGCAGAAATAGCATTTTTTAACTCGTCTAGATTTGAGTATTTTTTATCCTGTTTTTTAAATGGCCCCAGAGAAAGAAATTATTTGGCGAAATATCAGGAGACCTTGCTGGCCAATTTACTGTATGATTTAGGCCAATAACGTTTCCGTTAAAACTATTGTCTAAATATTCCCGAACAGCCAGAGTACTATGTGCCGGGCAGCCATCCATTTGGTACCAAACTTCCTGATTTTCCCTAGCGGCATCATGTAAAGCAGGTAAAATATGATTTTCGAGTAGTTCCAAATAATATTCTGCATTTAAATTTCACTTAAGAAATAATGGCCCGATAATATTGTGTCCGAATATCCCTGCCCAAACATTTACTTTCTGTTGATATTGCGTCCTTGTTTCGACAAACCTGTGTTGGTTTTCTTTGTTCCAATATCGATAATTTTGAATATTGGGTTTATTATTTAAGGTAAACATGCATTCGTCAGTGAAACATATGTTTTTTAAATCTCGATAACTATACAGAGACTAACTATACAGCAAATATATTAAAAGATTTTTAAGAGAAAAACATCACATTTTTTAGCGGGTAATAAGCAAGATAAGAATAATTTGACAGAATAATTTTAAAACATATATCAAAAATAAGATTGGTACCTTCCGGCATCAAAAAAAAAGAAATTAAAAAAATAGCAAGTTTGACAATTTTTTAAAGCTCTTTAGCGCGAGAGTTAAAGCCACTTGGAGACATTTTTCAACGGAAGAATAAAAGGGGTGGTTTTTTGGGGTGGGCAGATCATTTGTTACCCTCTGGTTAAAAATGCGCAGAGGAAATTTATGCACTGAATTTATCGTTTTAAAAAGGACGATGGAAGTTTTCTTAAATAATTCTTGCACGTTCAGTGAATGAATAAAATATATTAAAAGGAAAAGCAAATGTATCTTTAAACAATTGTTGGAATCTAAATACCGTATGACCGAAAAAAAGGACAGCTGGGATATGACAACTGACAAAAAATGACCAGCGTTCTGTTAAATGATAAATATTAGTGAACTACTTTTGCAGTTTGGTTTGTGTTATTATGTTTGTTTTAAAATTAAGTGGAGGAAAAATCGAGAGAAAAATAAGTCATCATCATTTTCAGCTTATTCAATCTTTTCCAATTATGGTGTAACCTCCCTCACATATTTAGATACTCTCTTTGTAGTTGAGCCTTAGGCCCGCCGCAAATTGAACCCAGCCCACGCACAGCACACGCCCAACCCATGCGTGGGGAATTTTGTAAAACACAGGAAAGAAGGGAGTACCACAAATTAAACACACTCCACGCCTAGCACAGCCTTTTCGTGGATCTAGTTGCGTTCAGACACACTTTTCGTGGGTCGTGGGTTCCTTCCCCTTCTACTTTTGCGACTTTTGCGAAAAACCGCTAGTTTTTCTTCACTTCCAATAGGTTTTCGGACGTTGCATTCCTTACCGGTAATGTATGTTTTATTAGTTCATACACTTAAAAAAACTGTGTCCTGTTTAATCCAAAAGACTCTTTAAATAGACTGTCTAGAACTTCGCTAGACAATCTAAACTCCCCTTTGCTTGCTTTTTTTCGCAAATATGCGTTTTTACATTTTTTTTCTCTATTTATTAAGCAAATGAAGTAAAATAAGTCCTTCTTCGTTCTCGGATCCTGATTCAAAATCAAGAAGTTGCTCGTATTCACTCATGATCGAAACCCAAAACTTGGGTCTGGGCTGTGTTCAATATGCGGTGCTAAGGAAAACGTGTGCGTGGAATCAAGAATGGGTTGGGCGTATGCTGTGCGTGGGCTGGGTTCAATTTGCGGCGTGCCTTATAGGTAGGGCCACCGAAAATTGAACCCAGCCCACGCACAGCCCACGCACAGCACACGCCCAACCCATGCGTGGGGAATTTTGTAAAACACAGGAAAGAAGGGAGTACCGCAAATTAAACACTAGTTACGTTCAGACACAGTTTTTGTGGGTCTTGGGTTCCTTCCCCTTCTACTTTTGCGACTTTTGCGACAAACTGCTAGATTTTCTTCACTTCCAATATGTTTTTGGGCGTTGCAAAAACTCTCTTCTGTTTAATCGAAAAGACTCTTTAAATAGACTGTCTGGAACTTCGCTGGACAATCTAAACTCTCCGTGGCTTGCTTTTTTTGCAAATATGAGGTTTTTTTATTTTTTTTCTCTCTTTTTATTAAGCAAATGAAGTAAAACAAGTCCTTCTTCGTTTTCGGATCCTGATTCTAAATCAAGAAGTATTCAGTCATGATCAAAATTAAAAACTTGGGACTGGGCTGCGTTCAATATTCAATGGCTAAAGAAAACGTGTGCGTGGAATCAAGAATGGGTTGGGCGTGTGCTGTGCGTGGGCTGGGTTCAATTTGCGGCGGGCCTTAACTCCTCGTGGGTGCCATGCTGTAATTTTTGTTGTCCATCTGTTGTCCGTTCTTCTTGCCAGGTGTCCTGCCCATTGCCATTTGAGGATTTGACTCATTGTGGATGACATCTATTACCTGGGTCTTTTGTCCTATCCACTCTATTCTTGGTTTCTCTTGGTTATTCCCAGCATATTTCCTTCCATTGAGCGTTGTGCGACCTACAGTTTCCTTATAATGTCCTTTTTAAGTGTCCAGGTTTCGTATGAATATGTCATGAGTGGTAGTACACATTAGTCGAATGTTTTCTTCTTTAGATAGAGTACCATTCTATATTTGAATATTATTGAGTTTCTTCCATACGTTCTCCATGCCAACTTAATTCTTGATTTCTAGTAGTAGAGATACCGAGCTTTGTATTAGTTCTTCATTCTTCTACTATGTCCAGTGTTGTGTTATTTGTTGGAATGTCCTTTCTTTCCACTAGTTCGTTGTACATTACTTTAGTTTTGGCTAAATTCATTTTTGAGACCCACTTTATTGCTGGCTGTATTTAGTTCATTAATTTGTGCTTGTATTTCTTCAGGACTATTGGCAATTAGGATTATGCCATCAGCAAATCTTAGATGATTAAGATATTCTCCATCTATTTTTAATCCTTTGCTAGTCCAGTCCAGTTGACGGAAGATTTCTCCTAGTATTTCTGTAAACAGCTTTGGGGATATCACGTCTCCCTGGGATTGTTTAAATATCAAAGTTTGTATACCATCTCATATAGAGCACTAAAAACTGGAGTAGCTATAAAATAAAGACATTACACGATAGTTAAATAATAATAGCTTTTAGGACTAGGATTAAAGTTAATTATCTAACTTTTAAGGAATAAAACTCAGTAATTATTTGTCATTTATCCAAAAAAATTGTTTTATTTATTCCTCTGCAATACTAAAACTTCTTTTATTTGTACAAATTATAGTGATAAATATAATAATAAAAGCAGGAAGTTTCTTAAAATTAAGAGAGTAAGTAGTATGTAAGGCATAGTTCTTTTTATAGGTTTTTTGTATGTGGCGTTTTGTTTGGTTTGGTTTGGTTAGGGAGTGGAGACATAAACTTAAAGCTTAGATTAAGAATGCTAAGGGGTTACATATTTGCAACTCTACCCTATGGTTCAGAGGCTTGGACACTTAAAAAGGCCGAAATGGAGAAGCTTGAGGCATTCGAAAGATGGTGTTATCTGCCTGTGCTGAGGATTGCATGGACTGACAAAGGTTACAAATGTAGAACTGCGACGCAGAATTCAGAAGGACGAAGAGGTGATTAACACCCTTAAAAAGAGAAAACTTGAGTACTTTGGACATATAACGAGAGGACTTAAATATGCCCTGCTGCAGAACATAATAGAAGGAAAGATAAAGGGCAGAAGGAGCCAAAGAAGAAGAAGAACATCATATGGCTCAAGAATCTGAGAGAATGGTTTGGAATGACTTTGAACCAGTTATTCAGAGCAGCCGTTAACAAAGTTAGAATTGCCATGATGATTTCCAACCTCCATTAGGAGATGGAACCTGAAGAGGGAGAGAGTTTAAAAAATGAGCGATTCGGAAAGTATTCCCTCTGACATTGAAGAAGAAGCATTCAGAGCCATTTTTGGATTGCTTCCAGCAAGATCGAAACAGAAGTATGAATATAAATACTCTAAGTATAAAAAATGGTACACCGAAAAAAAAAATACTGTGGAAATGAAAAGGTACTCATAACATATTTTTCCAATTTAGTGCAAAAGAAATGTTTTACAAAATATTTTTTTCTCTTTGGTAGTCATCTAAACAAGGAGTGCGGTAATGAAAATACGTGAGTTAAGAAGCTCTTAACTCACTCAAAATGCGTAAGTTAAGAGCTTCTTAACTCACTGATGTAGATAAACTACT